CATATTCACCAGAGAAGGTACAGATACTGTTCAATGGATCCAGGGATCTTGGATCAAGTTGTAGGAAAATTGTGGAACCGAACAAGACGGGTTATGCTACTCTTTTCTGTCTAAAATGTCTCTTAAAATCAAATTCGATTTCTTTGATCTTTTATCTCCCAGTAGCAGAGTAACATGAAAAAGGATTAACAAATTCGCAGGAATTTTGTTTTGTTTCTCTCTAAAATCTTTCGATAAACCCGTTCAAAATTTATCAGGACTTGTTAGCAATGAACTTATCAGGCTTGGAAAATGAAGAGATTGATGAATGTCATAAGAAAAGGAACTCTTTCTACTTTAGATGAACAGATACAAGACACAACGACTCAAGAAGATGATAAAGCCACACAGATACAAAGCGAATTCGAAGCAAAACTCGCAGCGAGGAAGATTTTTCAGAATGTTGCTGAGACTGGATCAAGGTATATATACATAATGACCTTATAAACAATTTTGATTTGATGTTTGTTAAGATCAAGATTTAAAAACAGAGGATTTTTTATTGGGTTTTAGGGACACATATATCGAAGACTTTATGCGTTTTCTCAGCTTCTTCTTGTATTCTTTGTGTTTGGTAATTCATGTAAAACCATCTTTGAAGCTGCCATTTACGTCTTCGTTATGCATCCTTTTGATTTCGGTGACCGGTGTGAAATAGATGGTGTCCAGGTTAGTCCCTTAAAACTCTGTTTCTCCATTTACATGACGCTTAAAACAAAGAGCTAATCCTCTGTTTTTCAACTCTGTTTTCTTTGTATGTGTAGTTGGTTGTGGAAGAGATGAACATTTTGACTACTGTCTTTCTTCGATTCGATAATCAAAAGATCGTATATCCGAATAGTCTTCTCCTGACAAAAGCTATTGCTAACTATTACTGCAGTCCCGACATGCAAGATACTATTGAGTTCTTTGTTCATATAGCAACTCCACCTGAAAAGATAACCGCCTTGAAACAAAGGATACTCAGGTTAGTAACCAAAACCCTAAACCGCAAAAAAAAAAAAAAAACATATCGACTAATATATGAATCGTATTCTATGGTTTTTGGTATAATGCAGCTATGTAGATAACAAGAAGGATCATTGGCATCCATGCATCGCCGATGATTGTGATTAGAGATATGTATGGATTGAACACTGTGAAGATGGCAAACTCATCATCAAGATATGGGAGAAAGATATGTAAGGAGAGGTCAATTACTTGAGATATTGGTAAATCTTGTAGAGGATTGGATATCGAATATCGGTTATATCCTCTTAACATCAAGATCAAAAGCATTCCTCCTACTACTACTCCGATCACTTCTGGTCGCAGTCCATCGAGCTGGAATCAAAACCAAAATGCTTAAAGACTGGAACAAATTTGAGTGTTAGAGAATTTTTCTTCTTTTTGCTTCTCATTCTCTTTGATTGTGTTTGAAGACCTTGAGGATTCTTCATTTTGCAATGTGAAGAACAGAATCTGTTTTTGTGTATATCTCTGTTTTGAGTGGTTATAATCATGAAATAAAAGCTTACTATATTTGAAATATTTGATTCTATAAGCTATTGAAGATCACCAATGGTCAGAAATAAACGAGTGTAACCTGACTAAACTCGAAAACGGCGTCGTTAGTCATATCTTGTACCTTAAACACAAAAAGCGACGTCGTTTTAGGATTATTATATTGCTCTAAGTCGTCATCATTTTTGATTTTGGAAAATTTCTAATCTTGCTTCAATTCGTGTTTGCATTTTGACAAATTGAAGCAGTTAGAATGAATGTTTGTTAATCAAAATCTGTGTGTTGGTATTGGTGATCTAAACGAGTTTTAGTTTTTCATCAATAGTTGTGTAAACATTTGATTATGGCTTCTCATTTGTAATGTTAATACATTGAAAGATGGAACTCTAAATCATGATTGTATACTACTCAAGTTATACAGATGTTGTTTGCTTAGTTTGTATCTGCTAACAAAGTATTGTACCAATTTGTACGTGTTTGCATCAAAATCTGTGTGTTGGTAACTCTGTTTTATTAGTTTAGTTCTTCATCAACACACTTGATTTTCGAATCTGATTCGTCATGTACATACATTGAAAGATGGAACTCTAATTCATGATTCTTCAACTAGTTTGATTTGAATGTGATTTGCATTTTGACAAATTGGTGAGTGAATGTTGGTTAATCAAAATCTGTCTTCTGGTAACTCTTATTGTATTTAATGTGATTAATCAGTTTAGTTTTTCATCAACAGTTGTGTAAACACTTCATTTTGGACTCTGGTTTATAAACATTGAATTAGTCTTGTGAATTGCTTGCTTCTAACTTCCAATTTTTGGTTTCATGTAGACAAAGAACATGTCAGTTCTTGTGGTCACAAATGTTGGGAATATAGGCATTAAATTGTTTACAGAAAAATATCCTTTGGCGTGCAAGAATTTTCTCAAACCAATAAGTTTTGCATATCTACCTAAAAGAACATTTATATGGTATTACTCTAACTACTATTGTTTAAACTTCTTTAATTTTAACTAGGTGATTCTTTCAGCGTACACGCGGGTAAATTATTTATATAGTTTTGTTTTTAACTTTAGTCTTTAAAAATGTGAAATATGTAATTGTTTTGATTTTTATTATAGACATTGTTATTGATTCTTTTGTTGTTAATTTTTTTGTCAATAATATCATTTTTATTAATAATATGAATTTCACAAATTTAGTTTTCCCATTTAATTATTTTATATGTAAATGGGTCAAATCAAAATGTATAATAATTTAATACATTCGAGTTAAAAAAACCATGTTAAATTTGGCTTGTCCAAATATCTTAAATAAAATTTAGAATAAAAATAACTTATTTAATATTTTAAAGTCT